GAACAGAATCATATAGATTATTGAAATAATGAATTTTTGAATATGTGTGATCCTTGTTAAGGTGTGAAAAGGATGTGAGTGCGTGTGCGAGTGTGCGTCTGTCAGATAAAGGGAGAAAGAAACTTAATGGCCGGCAGACGAGAGATAAAGAAAAAATGAATTATAATTGCGTATGGGTTTTGTGCCACTCTAGGTCATGTATATATAAAATTATGAAGAAAGAAGAAAATAGAAAAAGAACGTTTACATACAAACATGTGATGTGTATATACACACTATATATATATGGAAAATATTGAGATATATTTGTAAATTCTGTTATTCGAATACATTATAAATATTTTAACCTCCTGTAATAAAATATTTAATAAAAAACGTTACCAGCCAACATCGCGTGTCTCGTCCTTATCGCTTTTCTCATTCCGTTACGCGTTTCCTGGAGTCACGAATCCCGGATTTTTGGATTTTCGTACCAAGTACAGCTGAGGAAGATACTATGAGAATCGATTAACGATAATTAGTTATTTAACGCCTGGCGTGCACGAAATTATTGAGTAAACAATACTATGAACATTGTCTTTATGCATTCAGAGCAGCGAACATTAATGTCGTGGAAACGTTTGTTGTATACAATAGATGTTTCTTTTGGCGAATAAACAGTAAAATTAAATTCTTAAAAATATCTGTCACGTAGCATATCATTAATTGAGCCAAGCCGAAGTTATTAAAAAAATAACTGTCCGATATAGATTCCATAAATTTTTGTCATTCTCAAGCCAAAATATACGTGTCGTGCCATTTACGTTGTTATCAACGGATATGTCTGAAAAGGAGGGCAGTAAAACTTTTCGAAGCTCAGAATCAGAGGCACAAGGATTACGTAACGGTGAAGAACATATAAAAATTAAAAATTATTTTCCTGGCTTTACTCTCAGTCTTATCTCCTTAACCAAATGACATTATCGTAAATTCTAACCACTAAAAGCTTGTGCTCCAAGCATTATGGAATTAAGTAATTGAGAGAAACCACCGCAATAACAACAATGTTATCGTTCGGTTTCCTGACTATATGTACACGAGAGTATATAAAATCTACAGGCATTCGCCAGTCTTCCTCCACTCCAGTGACACACAGGAGGCACAACGTTATAGGAGTATAAGGAATTGGTGGTCTTAGAGAAGAAATGTGAAAAAGTGTTCCTAAGACGTTACGAAGACCGTAAACTCGTAAGGGTAACCGTAGAAAGAGACAAGTAAAAGTAAGCATTAGTGGAATCAGTATCTAAGGACGAGGACAAGGGGATAGGTTGAGAGTGTAGCAGCGAATAGGGCGTAAAGAGGAAGAGGGTTGCGCGAGAAAGAAGGGTAGTAGAGTGCGGTCGATCGAAGGGTGACACAGGGTCGCGTTATATATATAGAGCATAAGAAACCCTGGAGCTTGCGCAGAGAATCGACAGTGCAGAAAGTGCGGTGAGTAGTGCGAATCGCGTACACGGTGGTGCGCCTGTGTCAGTATTATATGCGAGTAGAGGAGGGAAGGCAAGCGGGGTCTCCAGGGTGGTCGATCGGTCAATATTCATCCCGAGAGCACCGAGAGCAGCGCCGGAGTCGGAACCTCTGGAGTAGAGACACGGACGAGGCTTCCTTCTTTACGTCCTCGCCCGCGGAGCTGTTCGATCGGGGACACGGCACCGTCTCTACCAACGTCACCGGCACACAGAGCTCCTCTTCTGGGCGGCAGCTTCTCTCATTATCCTGTGAAGACTCGCGAGGACAGCAACCAGCGAGGATCCATAGTCACAGGGAGGAAGTAGCAGGAGCAGCATCGCCATGGAGGGCAAGAAGGTGGAACAGTATTATACCAGACCGCAAAAGCTTGGAAAATGGGAAGGCTTCAGGATCTTCCTCTGGAACTCCGAGACTGGCCAGGTTCTTGGACGTACCGGAGCTAGTTGGGGTGAGCAATAAGAATTAATAATTATATATTTGATACGACATTACTTGGAGCTCTCATACCTTACTATGGCGAAGTGACGGAAGCTCTCTTGAAAGAACATTAGCTTCAGTCGCCATTGCTTGAAAATATTGCAATACTCACTGGACTAGATTTCATGTCTGATAGAGTAGAGGAACTCTATGAATATCAAATAGCTCTGAGAATTTTTGTGGCTATTTGAATTGGTTTCATATCTGCAAGGACACGAATATTTCTCAGTCGTCTCTTCCAAGTATACTGCCGATGCGGTAATTCTGTAACAGGGGCGAAAATCAATAAAAGGGCACGGACTCTATGTTCTTACTTGTTAATGTAATCGTATTGGATGTATTATGAGGTTACTGTTATATAATCATTGGGTTTCTACCAGAAACACCAAGGCGATTTCTATATAGCAGCTTTTCGATATCGACCCCATCTACGCGAATTACCTATACTGCATATACGCCGCGGTATTTCCGAAGTAGGTCGCAAGGGTCCCGTTGCCAATAGAGATAGGGTTAGGAATATCTTTTAAAGAAATAATATTAAGGGAAGAGAAGACTAGGAAGTTAATTCTTTCTTATGATAATGAGAGAAGCTAGAGTGAAATTTAACCAGGGATATTTATACGTCTGTCAGTTGTGTAATGACAATGCGGATATTTGTGCAGTGGCGAGTCTCAACCACTAGGATCGATAGACTGTCCTACTGATGGGGTCATAGTACCATCGACAAAGGATCCCTATGTCAATTTAATATTTAGTTGTTATTACTATCTCACCTATGAATCCAAAAGATAAAATGCTCCAATTGCCACTGGTAGACTTTGTATTATTCTCGGTAGTGCGTAACCGGTAATGCAAGCCACTCGAAAGGTCAGTAAAATCATGTTAATCGAGAACACGTGCGGATAAGAAATATTCCATTGCAGAAATTCTCACTGTCACGATCTTATGTAGATAATGTCAGTTTTTTGGTGAATCTTTCTAATAATATCATGATAAGACGACTGGCAATTTTGAAGAAGGCGTATCCTTAATAAATATAGAAGCGTAACGAGCTGCTGCCACGGCTAATGGTTGTTTCTAATTAAATTCTGAAGATAGAACCAAATAGGACGTTGGGCGAGTCAATCTCATTAGCTATGTTTCTTGCAGCTTTACTCGAGAAAGAGTTAAACATCTTTTTTTTCTTCTTTTCTTTTTGGCTTCCTTCTTATAGAGTTGTGCCAGTAACGATGAGTTTAAGATGAATCAAACAATCTGAGGAACGACCTCTATTATAGTTAATAAAAATCGGATACCCAGCAAAGACGGCTAGTGCGTCAGTGTTACAGGGACAAGTAATTCAAGTGTTTGTTGTCAACACGATTCTCACAATGAAGACGCATCAGTTAGTCAATGGCAATTCAGGCCAATTAGACCGTATATCGTAATTGTTCTTCTGTTCCTCTTGATACTGCATAGACATACATATGCGCGATGAAACTGCTTAGAATGCATTGAAGCAGAATAGACATTTTTATCACAGAAGGTAGCAGAGAAGAGGACAGAAATCAAAAGATGGCTTACTATTGTATTCAGTTCGCTTCAACGAAATTATTTGGTATTCAGACTAGACGGGGTATTCCGTATTTCCCTTGTCTACCAGTCCTGCCCATGTAGAAATCGATCAGGGAGTCTCGTGCGTGCCGATATTCGCAGTAGGGAGTAACCACCCTTTGTCGGAGCGTCCTCTCCTTCGTCCCATGCGCAGACTCCTTGATATTCTCGACTCGTGTGGTAAAGTAGAAATCCTTACCAGTTGTCGGTAAAGCAAACCTTACTGTACTTCATATTATATACGTATACTATATGTCGGCATTACTTAAAACATACAAGGATTTATTATGATTTACAGCAAAGATTCTACTATTCTATGTCATCTTCTATGCTGTACTGAGCGGCTTCTTCGGCGCCATGTTGGCCGTCTTCTACCAGACCCTGAAACACAATGAACCAAAATGGCAGCTGGAACAGTCACTTATTGGTAGCAATCCTGGATTAGGTTTCAGACCTATGCCACCTGAGAGTAACGTCGAGAGTACTCTGATCTGGTACAAGACAAGCAACGAAGGTAACTACCGTCACTGGACCAAGGAGCTGGATAAATTTTTGGCAGGTTCGTTGCAATTGACAATTAATAATTAATTACAATTACGAAATACGTAATAAGGTACGTCAGTGCTATTGTTCATAAAATTAATTGACAGATTACCAGAAGATTGGAAATACCCCTAATGCCGGAGAGCACAGGGTAACCTGCGATTACGGTATGGAGAAACTACCTCCTGGAAAGGTCTGCGACGTGGACATAAGCAACTGGATACCTTGTACTAGCAAAAATAGTTACAACTATCAGAAATCGGCACCCTGCATCTTCCTCAAGCTGAACAAGGTCAGTTAGACTCGATATACGATCCGAACAGCAACATACATCAGCATATTCAATCCTCTGAATGCATCTTCTTCCGGTACAGATCTACGGCTGGAAACCTCAGACCTTCAACGACACTGAGTCGATCCCAAATGACATGCCGGATGACCTAAAGGGTCACATTAGGAATGAGAAGACCAGGAACAAATATGCTCTGAACACAGTCTGGGTATCTTGCGAGGGTGAAAATCCAGCCGACGTAGAGAACATCGGTCCCATTCAATACATACCTCGTCGTGGCTTCCCTGGCTATTACTTTCCATTCGAAAATACCCCTGGCTACCTTAGCCCCCTCGTTGCCGTTTTCTTCGAGAACCCCAAACGTAAGCTTACACCATATCTGCCAAGTAGTAATTTTTATAAGGACGCCATTCCCCATCCACGTCGACCTTACTAACGGAGTTTGCTTCTTCGCAGGTGGTGTACTGATCAACATCGAATGCAAGGCCTGGGCGCACAATATCATTCACGACAGATTCGAGAGGCGTGGCTCCGTGCACTTTGAGTTGATGGTGGATTAAATTCGTTCTTGCCATATTAGCAAGACCACTACCAACTGCCTAAAAAAAAAAAGCACTTCTCGAACAGCTTTCTTAAGAGACTGCTTAAACGACTTAGCCTCTGTCCCCACGACGATAAATCCAGCATAATAAGTCCGCGATACTTCAGTTTTCTTTGACTCTCCTTACAATCGTCATCAGCGTCATCGTCAATCGTATTGTCGTCTTCGTCGTGCCAGTAGCAACAACCTACGCGTTTGTTGAACAACCTAAGGGAAAAAAAAAATTACTAAGTAACTGCAACAGGAAAAGGGAAAAAAAGTATGTAAACGTCACTCTATCGGAGACAGCACAATATTTCGAAAATATGAATACTGCACAAATGAATGGTGACGTTATTAAATTATTGTTATTATTTTTTCTTCTTCTTTTTTCATAAACCGGGGACAGAGGACTGGTCGTCTGATAGAGGAGTATGGTTGTTGTCGAATATCCGTCGTCCACGACGAACACCCTCTTATATATTTTTCAGTCTCTTATTCACAATTCGTTATCGTTCATTACTTAAGATACTTTACTAGTTATCGAATGAGGTATAGCGTTGCGCGATTAAACGAGGTTGAAAATGAAGAAAAGAAAAAAAAAAGCGAAAGCACAGTCATTCAACAAGACGAACGAAAGTCACTGCTTAACGACACGTGATTCGCTTTATTCAGTAAAAGCTCGTAGGGCTGCTTTGTTGACTTTGATGATTATATTTTTTTTATCTTCATTTTAATATCGATATAATCGACCTCCGCTAAAACAATTGCTCACCCAGTACACCGAGTAATCCGAGTACTTGGTACTTGATGACTTGGTAAATACATACGAGCCCATGCCAATCCTCACCTGCGTCAGCTTGGCCCTACGTAACTCTTACTGAATAAATTCCTGTCGCGAGCATTACTAATTATCATTTTAATAGTGAGTCATGACTTTTATTTATCTTGCTCAATGTTTATGCTTTTATAAAGTATTTACGATATTATTGTACTTAATAGCGCGTATTCGTACACTAGTGAGAAGTATTTACGTATTGTACTAAAATAGCGCGTATCCGTACACTAGTACACGATAGTAGCGGATAGTAGGATATACTTAGGTACGTTCTTTCGAAAAGCTTGATCGATGTGCCACTGAGGAAAAAAAAGAAAGAAACAGGATTAAAAAGTGAGGTAAAAATTTGAAAAAAAAAATATGTAAGAGGAAGGTAGCGCCTAGGCATAAAATCTCCGCCTCGTCATTGGATCCCAAGACAGATACTGTCGCTGATCGAACGTTCGAGTATGCTCGTTATCGGTAAGATTCTGTCGTCATTGTTATTAATGACGTCGATGATAATAATTATAATGATAATAATAAGGGGAAAAAAATAGACGAGAATGCTCGATCGTGCGGAAACACACTGATAACGGAAAGTTGTGAAGATAATGAAAGTGAAGGTTGTTGAAAGGATGGAAAAATGAAATGAATAAAAAAATTTGAATTGACACGAGGAATGATCATGACGATAGTACAAAAGGATCCTGTTGGGGGTTTGTTGATAAAAGGATGAGCACTGCTGATTAATAATTTTTCCTTGCTATTAATTGTTACCTCGAATTAAGTCCGTAGGAGAGGCTAATCATTTTGTCGAGTTTATAGGTTATGGGCATCGTTTTAAGTTTTAATGAAAACGAAAATTCATTAAAACAGTATTAACGCGAATACTGTGAAAATGTGAGGGAGGTTCACGGTATAATGTATCAATTAATGTTATTGTCTATAATCAGTAAAGTGACAAGGATGATAAAAGAAAAATTGTATGAAATCATTAAGATAAAACAGATCTGAGAATAGGGACAGTATGACGTGCGAGAAGGATATAAAATTAGGAGCTTACAAAGTCCTGATTAATAATCATCGATTACAGATTTTGTATTTATAATGATTATTAACTAACGTTGTTGAAAAGTGTTCTGGTGTTATATGGAGCGAAGTGAAATATTCGTGTGACGGGAGGGATGATTATGGTAGGGCGAAGGAATAAATAAATAAATAAATTGAACAAAAAAGATGGAAAAAAGAAAGAGAGAGAATGGACAAAAATAACAGACGATCTTTGTTAAAGCGAAATCAGGGTCCGAGCCGTGCAACTGATCGTGCAGCGGTGGCGCCCTCATCGAACTATCCAACTGCCGATCGTGAATGCACATTTTTGACGGGTCTATTTTATTTCAAAATAAAAAGCATGGACTACGTTATACCGCCCGGGAAAGATTATCGATTGTGCTAATACACCTTTACTCTCTAGATGTTTCGGATACATTTACTGCATGATAAAGGTTAATTGTTTAATGATTAATTAATGTTAATGTCCGCGACGCCATGGCGTCTAACGCTTTGCGCGGAAAATAAAAACTTTACGGAAACTCACGGGTAAGACCACGGAAGTCAAAAGAGTGACAGGATAAAATGATTTAAGTGAGACGTTAAGGAAAAAAAAAAAGTATATCGCCCATCCTTCAAGATATGCAGGAAACGGAACTACGGCGATTTTTCCTCGTTCATTATTTATCGTTCGCGATCCACTCAAAGAAGCTGAACACGACGCCATTTCCACTGCTCGCATGGTTTATGGTAAATTTTAAATATTTCAAATGATACTACTAATCTTTGTACACGTTTGCACGTATCATTGGCAATATGCAGTAATAATTATTATTAATTTTTGTGTGCATGCGAACATGATTATATTTGATATATAGTTATACAGGATGTTTACATATGAGTACTGCCATTTTCTTTTATTACGAATATTATTCCACGTTAAATTTCTTAAATTTATACATACAATTATATCACTGTATGAAGTCAAGCACGGGTTTGAATTTTTTGGCTACGCTTTATTTTCAATATCTACATTATTATTGAAGAGAAAAAATCGCACCTTGAATTTCACCTTTTACAGTTTATATACCCTAATCTGCATTCCTGAATTCATAATCGATCCACCATAAACAATAATAAAAATACAATTCAACGATACTCACTGAATATATATATATATATATATATTCTATCAATCAATGAAGTACGAATCTCACGCTAATCAATTTTCACCTGTAATTAACGATAAACATGACATGGTACCTAAGGAAAGATACGTAATTCATGGAAAAAAAAGTTTGGTTAGGTTATGGGATTACATATGAGTATAAATAATCATAATCGGGATATACGTATCCCATCCACCGTATAAAGTGCATATACAATTTCGTACACTTCATTATTATTATTATTATTATTGTACCGATTAAAGTTTCGATCTTTAATAGATCGGTGCTATTATGCAATAACAATATTTATAGTGCATAAGCCTAAAGTCGTTAACGAATAATGAAACACGTAGTAATAAATAAAATTGAAAAAAAATATAGTGAAATTGTAAAGAGCATTAATCGTTAACACGTGCCGTGTTTATTTAAACAAATGGCAACGTATGGAACATGTGAAATTTCCTTAAGATCCCATAAGGAACACGAGACCGTGTATAATGGTGTTGTAAAACAATTCAAAAACATGAGAAACGACTGTTCTCTGAAAGAATATTAAAAATAATCAGAAGTGGCAGGACGATTCTGGGATACTAATGAATTAAGGATTCTTGGATTATCATTGATAAAGGATGTAGCCAGGTATCAAGGAACGGAGACACTTATGGATAAGATGTATTTGGCAAAAAGAAATATGGCAGCGAAGAGAAGTTTCTACGGCATCCATTGAAAATTACTTTTTAAGGTGCATCCTCGTGCGGAGATTGTGTAACGTGTTAAAGAGACGTAATAACACGTAACTAAACTGTCTATAATAATGCGATCGTGGTTAAAGGATCGGCGGAGGTCAGTTATTTCTATATCCTTGGATTTCGTGACAATGGTGTCGTCCATTATTTTGTCATGATATATGCGTCCTCAGTTGTATTTGTAGGCACGCTAAATGGATAGGCATTGGTAGTACCATGCCTATGCAATGGCATACCACGCTAAATGCAATGCATTGGTAGTACCATTGATAATGCTGTCTTCAATGACCGCTTCGAAATAATAAAGAAGAAAATGAACTCTAATAAACGAAAAAATTGGGAAAAATAATTGCTCAATGTCTCAAAAGATAAGAAATGTCTGATCGTCATCGCAGACATCTTTATGAAGACACTGTTTAATCAAGGATTCACTTTTACATTAATCCCACTGTCGCCACCTGTTTCAATCTTTGGAGATAAAGTACGAAAAACAAGTTAATACCGGTTTCGTACTCTCTGCTTGTCTACAATTGTTAGCACTGGATTTATTCTGTCACTGTCTTGACAAAGCTTTTCAGAAAAAATGTCAAATAAATCAAAAGCATGAGATTCGATGTGCGTCACAGTGCATACAAAGGATATGTACCAGGATTTAGACGAGTCTGATAAATCAGAAAAGATCAATGAAAAACAGCTGGTCCTGAGAGTGTGTAAATCATAATGACAATGGTTAACCTTAAAGAGACACTATGGTGTACTGTACCGTCTTCTTGACGCCATTCCTCCCTAACCTCCCTTATCACTCCGACACTAACACGGCAATGACATTAATACGATATGACGGCACGACTGACAGGATGTGGTCAATTCAGTTTAGCATCGTGTGTGAGTCACATTGTGCCCCGACGAATTCACGAAGCTTGCACGCATCGAATAGGACAATCGCCGTCATTCTCGCGACAGATGGCGTAACTTAAGGTCATACTGTATGACCTTAGCCCCTAATTTATCGACTTATCCGGCGAGCTCCGTGGATGCGCCATGTCGTGCAAGCGGACATTTTATGAACTTGATCAGTAACAGGTACCAAGTTTAATAATGGAGGGAAATGTACATTTAGTATCTCTCACAAGAAAACGACCGGACTTCGCTGGTTCTTGTTGAGCTTTTAATATGTAACGGAGTACCTTATTCCAGTCTCGGATGACCAACGTATACGTAACACTTCTTCAAGAGCTCCTAACGATTGGTATTTCCGTCATGACTGCCAGGATGGCTCGCTCAAATTCTAATTGAGGATGTGTCTCGGTTCGCCAGAGGAAACTTCCATGGAAGCTGCTTTGGGCCGGATTTACTGAGTTCGCCCACACTCGAACCGGCGGTTACAGGACGTATCGTCTATGGTTCATGGGAATTAATCTGAGGCCCTACGAGTTTTTTTCTTACTTCTCTGATCAACGTACTTCTATAGTTGTACGTTTGTTATAATTACACAAGTGGTCTCACTGATACTTGACTAATATAACAAAAATAAAAAAATACCTGTTTACTGTCATACAATCTTCTCAAGTGATTTGAGAACCGCAATCACCTTCTTTTACATAACATTGATTCACATTTTTTCTATTATCTACATAGATTTTATGTATACCATTCAGTCACTGTCTGTGCTGTAAACTGATCCAATGTCAGATGTTTGTCTTATGAAATAATATATTTAATTCAATCCTGCCTCAACTTTCAACATTCTCACTAAATCATTTACTAGAATATCTATAGAGGGAGAGAGAGTTACGTGCAGTATATGCAACCACCATAGGTAGAATAAAGCTAAAATGAACTATAGTAGGGTCAATCCAATAGGTTCTATAGTGAGTGCAAGAGTACCATAGTGTATGCTATAGGTAGAAACGTGTATAGAGAAACAAAGAGAACCAGTATAGTGTATAAAAGGGAGTAAAAGGGAACGAGAAAGGAGTGGTATAGTGTATAGGTAAGTAAAATATAGAAGCACAGAAGAGTAGTGAAGCAGGAATGATGGTGGGAGAATAAAGAGAGGACTAAGTGGGGCCCGAATGACGCCTCCTCAGTCAACCTGGTGGCGTCGAAGTGATCTAAGCGTCGTTGTTATTCCTTGTAACAGTTGCGAGTTGGCAGTGGAGTTGAATACGAGTCGAGTGTTAAGTGTCTCTTATAATATTGGGCCTGTTTAATTATCCTCCTCGTTCTCTTCCTGTCGCTTCATTCTTTTCTCTCTTACTCTCCCTTTCTCTTTCTACACTTTCTGTCTCCTCATCGTCCACTGTTGGTCCCAACTAAAGAGTCCATCGACATAAGGCCCAATCATGACGGTTAAAGACTCGAAATTCGTGGCCGCGGAGTCCATGAATCCTTACGAGAAACCGCCCAGCATGTCAGTGATGCAATCCATCAGGACGTTCATCTATAATCGTCAAACTGGCGCATTCATGGGCAGGACAGCTAGCAGTTGGGGTAAGCCACCAAAACAATTAGTAATAGTAAAAACACAAAAAAGAATTACAAACTTGAATGAACTCTGTGAACACCGCCCTGAATCCCCTTTATCGACCTACCGTTAATTTTATTTTCATGGAGTTTGCCAACCGTAACGGTACTTTGACTCGTTGTATGTACCTGTTCTTACTGAAAATAATACATTTTTCTAAGTGTATACGTTGTTTCTGTCATGGATTCCATTCACGTGTAGCATTAATACTAATTACTTCCCTCGCCAAGAACTTTCTGAGCTTAACAAATATTTGACACACTCCAGCGAATGAAGGTTGACCCTACACCATAGCAGGAAGGTAGGTCGTATATGGCAAACCCCATAAGAAAACATCCTCAATGTTTACGTCCAATATAAACACATAGTCGGTTCTATCGTTATTGGGCTTTGCTTATAGTGGTTGCTCTATAATGGAGTCGGTACAAATTTCCATGAACTGTTATCAATATTCCGTTGTCCCCAAATACCTGGCTCTCTGACACAAACTATTTTACCGACAATATTTACTCGGCGTTCTCCAGAAAGACCACGGCATTATCGACTTTCTGTTGCGATTCAAAATAATGGAATTCTCGATAATATCAAGACCTTCTGCCATTGGACGAGTATGGTACATTCCATAGTTATGCGCTGGTGGCACGCGGTCACGCAATTAACAACAGCAAAGAGTGAAATTGTTACTAGTCAGAAGCGAGTAAGGTACTGTAGAGTGGAAGTTAACTTGAGGCGACTATACCAACATTTCTGTAAGAAAGAGAAGGACGAAATAAGAACCGTTTAGGATCGACAGGAAGATACTTTCGCTTTCTCTGTCTACTGTGTACGTAGTACGATACAGTAGAGTATAAATTAGACAAGAGGTAGGAATTTACTTTATAATATTGGTGGGTGTGGCCGCCCATGAATTCATAAAACGTATGAGACAACAACGTATTTAATTTGTTGAAATTATCTTTGCACTGTATCAGGGGAATTTGTTATAACTATAGGTAACGTTCCGAAATTCATTGCGAGCACTGCAGGCATTATCTTCATTAATTACATAGAAGTAAACAGGGATATGACAATACTCGTATTACTGGGTATAAGTGGGAGTCATTTGATTGAGAAATATACGTAATGGCGAAGTGAAAAAATATGAATATGAGAAATACCAAAGAATATATACCACGCATAAAATCTAAGCGAAAATGTATTTACGTAACCAGCCTTATCCTATGGAACTTCGATAAACTTTATATCTAATTCTGTAACTTCATACGAAGACCTGCAATGTCACTGGGGAGACAGTATAATTGCGAGCTTATGTCTTCTCGTGTAATTAGCTGAGAAGCCCCCCAATGGACTTGTAGCTATTCGCAATCTGTATTGCCTGTCAAAACATTTGAAATACGTCAAACTCCACGTTCTTGTGAAGTAAATGATTTTACAGCATCCCTGATGAGCGTGTCCATTTTATTTGTTTTTTTTTTTCTTGTCTCACCTGCTCCTTGTTTACTTCTTCTTGTACCAAGGACAATGACATTTACTGTTCATATTTTGTTCTCCGGCTTCTCATAATCCAATTGCTGAATTCTGCAAGATTATCGGTTGTGTGCTTTGTAGGCATTATAAAAACAAAATAGAAAAGGCGGAAGCACGTTACAACTGACTTCGAGGTATCTACATATACAGTAGCTCTGTTGAATGGCAATTGTTGAACTTCCCTTGGTGCAAACGTGTACAACGAGGTCAATTGGCGATAAATGGAAGCATTATAGCATTACGTAACCTAGGGCCATTCCGAAGGGTACACCCACGCGACCGTACAGCTTTTATCTAGCCACTGGCGTGTAGGACCATTCAGAGACTCGATCGGGAGAGCAAAATGAACTGTATTCATGGGCATGTGCCTATATGTTTTATGAAGTCATGAACTTCTTGCTGACATTAGATTGGGAAATTACGTCTATGAGGTTTTAAAGAGCAAAGTGTATCTGCATTATTATCGCAGGAACGTCCTTTCATATATAATATATCCTCCTACTCTTGAGATTTATCTCGTTGCACTGGGTACAGCAGCGCTGACTAACTGACCAATGAAACGACTTCTGGAGAAGCAATAGGCGAAACGGCCTTGCGACGAATTGAATCAACGTGTAATTGAATTGCTCTGGTTGACTAGGCGATTTTGATATTCCCTCAAATTGGAGCGTCGATTAATATAATTAACCAGCGGCATCCACGCTTCCATAATGTTCAATGTCTTCACGGTTTCCTTTCAATCCGATTTTCAGGAAAGATTGGACTGTTCTACTTAATATTCTATGGAGTCCTTGCTGCTTTGGTGGCCATTTGTTTTTGGGGCTTCTTCCAAACTTTGGACCCAAGGAAGCCAACATGGCAGCTGGAGAGATCCATCATTGGCACAAATCCTGGTCTTGGTTTCAGGCCTATGCCACCATCTGCAAATGTTGAGAGTACGTTAATATGGTACAAGGGTAGCCAACGAGAGAACTTTAAACACTGGGTAGAATCTCTTGAAAAATTCCTTGAAGGTATGACAAAGAATAGTGTATTTTGTTACCTTCTATGTGCTTGTGTAAATATATTACAAATAATAAATCTGATTCTTCAGTATACATAAAACCTGGTCTGACTCCTGGTAGAGGTGCCAATATTCATAATTGTGATTACAACCAGTTACCAGCTAGTGGTCAGGTCTGTGACATTGACGTAAAAAACTGGGATCCTTGTATTGTTGAGAATAGTTTCAATTATCACAAGTCAGCTCCTTGCATCTTCCTCAAGCTTAACAAAGTAAGTATAAGAATAATTCTCTCCTTCGCACCTTCAACTTATTATTTCTCATCATTCAAATTGATTACAGATATATGGCTGGGTACCAGAATTTTATAATGACACAGAAACGCTGCCACAAAAAATGCCACGTGAGCTCAAGGAGTATATACATTCACTAAAGATCAGTGATCCCCGTCAACTGAACACTATTTGGGTATCCTGCGAAGGTGAAAATCCTGCTGACCAAGAGAACATCGGTCCAGTACATATCCTACCACGTCGAGGTTTTCCAGGTTACTTCTATCCTTATGAAAACTCTGAAGGTTATTTGAGTCCTTTAGTAGCTGTACATTTTGAGAGACCACGCAGTGAGTACCAATCTTATCACATATCTTTGGATACCTATCGACAGCTACAGATTTATCATTTATACAATCGACTTTCAGGTGGAATCCTAATAAACGTTGAATGCAAAGCGTGGGCACGCAACATCCACCACAGCCGTAACGACAAATTGGGTGCCGTACACTTCGAACTCTTGATAGATTAAACGTAACACCAAACAACAAGACTCTTCATAATGAGTCTAAAAAAATATCACACTAGGGATAAAAGGGACCTTACGTTTTCGTGAATCGCGAAAAATGCAATGCTTTCCGAAAAGTCCAAACCATATTCTCAAGAATGAGATTTTATTGTACTGATTCGATCAAGTACAAAAGAGCCGTCTTATGAGAACAACGACGTGCCTCCGTGGCAAATGGATTGTTCGACAATCTGGCCCGGAAGACTAGAATATAGATGATTCTACAGAATCTCCTGGAACTTTGATCTTGAAGTATCTTAGATTTATCATTTTACTCATAACTTTTCTTTGTGGCGAAAACATACGAAAATCGGATATTTGAAAGGTTTTTTCCTCGATGCGATTTTCGCGTTTAATGTTTTTAATTATATTTTGTATTACATAATTTATTCCTGATGATATACGCATTACATATCATCAATTGGAGAAAAACAAAATCATTCCTATTAAACGTGCGAACCAAGAGAGATCTGTTTGCCAATACATTGAACGTGTCTTACTTCTTCACATTTATTTGGCACGTGTAACGAATCTTTTTTTTTTCTTGATTAAGTTCAATGACCCCTTAGTGTCATTCACGTACCATATGTAAGGACCAATGGAATATTAGTACACAGCAGGCTGTTGCGTGCTTGCACTTTTTATTACCTTCTAATACGATTCTCTCTCATTTAATATACACATACAACAAAGTGTATACAATTTTTATATAAAAATTACTTTAATACAAAAATATCGCCGATTGCCTTGTAAAGAAAAGGCTGATGTCTACTGCGTTACCTTCTACATCAGTTGCAAGTAAAAATGCAACGGAGCCATTCTTATAATCGCTTAGAAATACATTAAATAGGTTAAACGATAATGCGTGATCATCTTTGCGCAATGGACGGACGTGATTATTCCATCAATGATTTCTGTACTTTTGAATCGATGAATTAACATACGTACAGTTCTTATTCAAAATGGCTATGGTGTAATATATATTTATATATGACGTGTTCTATTGTATCCTATCGTGCGAAGCCTTAATATTCTCATTGAAAAAGAAAAACAAAAAATAATTCGAGTCAGCAGATCCAAGCTGCATTTAGATATTTAAAATGTAGCTTTATAAACCATAGATGATAGAAGCTTTTGAATCAAGATATAAATACGAATCAATTCTGTAGACAATCTCTACCGGAATATTGTTTGAATGTGATGAGCTTTGAGTCGCGTGACTTCTGGTTCAATAATCTATGAAGTGAATGAGACTAAGGATAATAGAAATGAAAACAAATTTAATCATTTTTATCCTGTCTGTATTGTCCTACGACACCTCATCACGAGTATCGTGACTGCACTCTCGACGCGATACTAGTATTACATTTTAGTATTCACTGTATACTGGGGGTATATGTTTTTCCTCTAGCTAGACTGTAAACGAATCTCTGTTCAGCTTCAAATGCGTAAACTTGTATTTTGACGAAGTATAAGTTGAATAAAATAATCTTTGTGTAAAACGTCATTCAGTGATACAACATTTACAAATATTTTAATATAGCGAAATGGATTTAACTATTCTTCGCCTCATTATTGTCACATATAATTTAACATAGTTGATCCAATTACTTATAATTATGGGCTGATAACACCATTTTACATTATAGAGGGTTATAAATACAGTCAGTAAGTACTGGGCAGGATTGTGCGTAATGAATTTAAAAAAAAAAGATGAAAAAAGATATCTATAGACATATCTGATACCATATAGTAGACAAATTCAAAAAGCTTTTGACCTAATATGAAAAGGCAGTAATTATTCGTTGAATTACTTAGGTCGATATAAACTATCTTAATGTTAACACATTACGATCCTTCGTATCCGTGTAAACATTTAAGTAAAATACCATCGCGATATTTCTAATCCTTGCGAATATTCGCTTTCCACTAGATATTTATTTCTAAGGCTAGCGATGGCGAGTTTGTTTTCATTTCTTTGTCACTCGCCGCTGATAATACGGGATATTAAATTACTAGTACTTGTCCTTGCCACTTGAATGCTACTACTAGTCTATAGTAAACTGATACCACGTTGTGAGGATATTGGCTGTTCCCTCTGAGTATCAATATCGATAAGTATATATGTATAACCGATTGGTTAATCGTCGATCATCAATTCAAAATGGACAGCACCTTTCTTCTCCAATTTCGTTGTACTATAGATGATATTACGTGCCCAGGCGCGACATTCCACATTAATTATTTGATTCCCTGCAAGAATTAATAATTAGATATACGAAGCTTATCATGTGCCAAATAAGAAAAGACAAGTAGAAGCTCACTCTTAGGACGTAGAAAATGAACGGCAACTAGAGGACTAAGGTATCCTGGTGTATTCTCATAGGGATAATAGTATCCAGGAAAGCCTTGATTCTTTGGATAATAATCCAATTCTCCAATAATCTCATTGTCTGCAGGATCCTCTCCAGAACAAGAGACCCAGACTGTGTTCAACTGCCGAGAAAAGAAATTATTTTCTTATTAATGCATCAATCTCTCCCTTTAGATTAATTTTAGGATTTAATCATTTTTATCGTGACTAAAAATTTCTATGGCGACCCTATCAAATAATCAAAATACAAACATCAACTGATCTGATAATCAGTCTGCTTTCTATCTTGCATGATTCAAACTTGAACTATACAAATTTAAAATGTTCAACCAACCTCACTAGTTTTCACAGCTTTTATATGACTAATTAAACTGGCTGGCATATCTTTGGGCAGATCTTGAGTGTCATTGTAGTATTCTGGTATCCATCCAAAAATCTGTAAATCAATTTTTTCATTTTCATCTTTATTTTTAGGCCTCTACTGCGTACCAACACAGGACAAATGGCTTAGGATAATCACTCTGTTCAATTTGATAAAGACACAGGGTGCCGAATTGTTGAAACCGTATCCTTCCTGAGGTGAGCAAGGACCCCAATCGCTAACATCAACCGCACAGACGTTTCCAGGTTTGATAGGTTGATCATAACTGCAAATCTGCTGGTTCCTCCCGCTCGTAGGCAGGTAAGACGAATTTAAATATCCTGAAAATTTAAATAATTAGCTTTACTACGATTACCAAGCTATCATTGAGCAATTGTATCATAAAAATCAGCTAATGTATCATTGAGCAAGCCCCTATCGTCGATCGCGTCCATATTGATGTGATAACATGCCACTAGGTACCAATCAATATCCCTATTGATAACCACTACTGATACCAACTAAGATTATTCAATGGCAAATTTGCATCAGGATAGCTATGTTATTTTCTTTACCAGTAATCATGCCAATCATTAACCTTGGTTCACTTGCATATACTTTCTTAGACACTTCATTTAAATCGCATTACTTTCAAACACATAATAAACTTTATTAATATGAATCATAATTCTCGGTACTTACTCTCCAGGAACTTATCAAGTCTTGCGGTCCATGAACGTACTTGTGTGGCATTTGATGCACTATACCAGATTAACGATCTCTCGTCAGTATTATCTGATATAGGTCTGAATCCAAGTCCTGTGAAAGATAATAAAGCAATAGAAAGATATATAGAGGCTTTTCGATTGAACTAAAGTTCATAAGTTCACGAGTCAACGATAAATTTCATTGAATTAGTTAAGCTCGATGAACCCAGATGATCGCGTGTCGGCCTCTTGGTTAATTGCCCACAATGACACATGACTTTAAGAAAACTAGTATGAGCCAGTATACTGCCTATAACATACGAATAATATAATGAAAAACTTTACTCACCCGGATTGGTAGTAATCAAACTGCTTTCCAGTATCCATTTTGGTCTATGATCGTCCAAGGTTGCTAGTAGACCCTTCATACATATGGCGAATAATATTGCTAGCCCGCTGAAGAAGAATAAGTAAAACAAACCGGTGATTCCTAAAATAAGAAAATGTAACAGTTTATTTTTATCTGCGGGCATAAGTCTTGCTCGTTTTTCTTTTTTTAGTTTTTTCTACTTTCAGGAATCCATCGCGCTATTCCAAATCCGTACGTCGTGGAAGAGCGGTTGGATTTCGTAATTTCAAAACCTCACTCCTACGCATATCGGTTGTCGGTAAGTTACCGAATATTTTGCATGTTTAATTCGTCTTTCGAGGCATATTAACTGGCATATATCCAATAGAGAACTAAATATAACTCCATATAGAGGAGAAGCTGGCGATTTATTTGTCCAACGCATTCACGTAAATACATAACCTGTACAGGTGTACTTTCTGTCAGACGATATACAGGTTAAAGAATTTTTTAAATATTTTATCTGCAATCTGGTGCGTGTCTAAGTCGTGTTAATATACTGAAAATTCTTTCGCATTGAATTCTATTGGTAGGATGTCTTAGAATTAGCACTGCTTTCTTGATGTCTTCATTATCGTACTAAACTTCGAGACGATTGCATCAGCATAAATATTCTCTATCGGCTGACAACAGTCGGATCATTCAATAAAATCTAGTGATAATTTCTATAAGCGTACCATAAAGCTGGTAGTAACGAGTCGTACAAATATTGCTTCACTGCTTGAACTATGTTCATATTATTCATGAAAAATTCTCTTAGCACTAATTCGAACGCGTCACGTGAAATTAAGCAGTAAGTCTCTTTTTTAAATTGTCTCTATTTATTTCATTAACGTAACGTATATAGGCAATATTTCTTTTTTAAACTCGGATCTTGGTTAACTATGGAGTTAGTCGGAATTAGTTTAGTTTGAAATTCGAATTGAGTAGAATTTTATAATAAAAATGATCAATAAAACAATATCATTTTCATTGACAGTATGACAGATTTACTTTACTGATTAAAAAAATGTACAATATACGACAAAATGGAAGAATCTGACTTTTTGTACGGACATTCTAATTCCGAATAAAAATATTTCATTTATTAGCAAGGTCGATCTATTCCAGTCTGATTACTACTGATGAAATTATACAATAGACAGATATTTAATCCAGTTTCTTAAGTTATATAGTATATGTATAGCTTTTTTAAATAAGTTTTATGCATTTATCATTCGACCTTACGAAATCAGTCTTGGATCTTTGGGATTTCATGCTATTACGCTTTAAATATAGACATCCTCTATTGCGAAGTCAGGAATTAATGAGTATATACATATATGTATAGCGTCAAAGTCATATCCAGTAGAGCAGTTCTATAGAATAGAAACGGGGCATCAAGGCGAAGATACATATCGAGGTAATGATTGTGGTTTTTGACGGGGAAAAAAAAGTGTTAGAGAGATTCCACAGCGAACGTAGACGCTGTTGTCAGTAAGTATTACGGCGTTATTATCGTTGTCGCTGGGTTATATAAAATTTGACAACTGTCTTGACTAGCAACAATGTATGCAGTATCTTATGATGCACTCGATGACTACGTCCAAGAATAAGTGAATTGGTTTAAACAAATTTTGAGAGCAATGAAAAAGAAGTTAAAAAACGTTAAAAATTAAATGCATGTTCTTAGTTTTTTTTGTTCAGTAATTAAACATTGCGATTTTTAATCTATTCTTAACGCGGGTAGTATCGGAAAGAAATAAAAAGGAGGCTGAAGAAGAGTAATAGAGAAATAAAAATAAGGAAAGACTGAGAACGCAAAGCCTTCTCGTAGTTAACTCACTGGCGATCTATGTATAGTACGTAAAGTATGTAGCCATGGCCATGAGATATTAAAAATATTTCAATATACCGAAAACAATTCGGTAGCATGGAAAAAAACGTAACGGTATTATACACATAAAAGTATGATAGACGGATACCTATTTTGAATATTAAAACTTATGTTGCGTACTATACATTATCATTGTGTACAGTATTCATTGTGCATAATGAGCAGCTGGTAACCGTGTCCTAGCTAAAGGTATCGTGTGTTATACTACCTGGAATTTATATCGCTCAGATATATATCATGAAACTGAAACTTTTAAGGTACATTAGAGAAACTGCATAATTACATGTAGCAGTTAGGTAAAAGAAATAGCAAGCAATACAATTTATAAAGATAAAAAGCATTGCTGAGTTAAGTACTAACCTTCCTCAAAAATATATTATCAACTCGACTGATACGCTTAATTGGATAACTGACAGTCTCACGCGAATCATATTCCAGTTTTAAATTTTCAACAGGAAACGTATCTAGTACGTAAATAATTAAAATGTTTGTCCACCGTAACTCACAATAAGCTCACGATGCGTTGACCATAGTTTCAAAACGAAGAAACTAATTGAAAAGTATTGGGAACAAGAGCAATAGGATAGCCCATCGCTAGAATTTTAACTAACGACTCCAGGAGAATGCACTGGGACTAAAAATATCTTATTCACTATAGGGTCAAGGTCGTCTGAGCCAATATGTTCTCGAGTAAGTTAGTCTGAAATTTCAATTGCATGCGACTTCGAAATTATTTCAAAAGAGAGACAGAAGCTTGTTAAATAATGTCGTTAGATATTCAAAAAAAAAAGGCGCGGAAATTCCTTTTATTTTGAAGAGCGATCTACGAATTTGCAACTCTAATAATAGTACACTCACCCCATTTCTTGCCGGTTTTACCTAGCACTGTTCCCTCTTCCTTATTATATATCTCATCCCGTATAGATTCCCAGCGTGTCTTGTACTTTGGTATCCGTGTGTAATCAAACTCATATACACCATTTTTAACTTGTTTCCCAGGTACACTCATCCTGAATGATACAACGTGAACTTCTTCTTTACCACTATACTTCTTGCTTCTTTCCCTTCTTCAAGGCTCTGTTCTGTTTGTGAAACTTTTCTTCCAGATTATCCGCGCTCTGTCCACTTACTCACCGGACGATCGGAACGACTCTAACTTTTACTCCGTGAACTCCCAGCATATATCCTAACCGGCGAGCAATGCTCGCTACTCTCTTTCACTCTCGTCAGGATTCTGGTCTATCGGCTGTGTTGTACCGCTTATATACGCACGCTGAGTTGGAAATCGTAGAAAAGGGCACACGTTCTGAGTACGTCGTTCTATATATATACACAACTACATACGCTGCTGGATCGACTTTTAGTCCACGAATTCAATGTGTTTTTGACAGGTCAAAAACGATGAAGCCACACACGATTTACCATACAATCATTAAACTATGTTGTCGGGGAACAAAAAATATATTTCGGTGCAAAATTCTAGCGTAAGTTTTATCCAATGCCAAGTGTGGTTCAATTAATATAAGCGCATTTAACTCCTGGACGAACTGTATGCTTAACAGACTGACTCTGCTAGTATAATGTTTTATGCTCCGTAGGTAAGATCTTTTATTGTTGTGTTGTACTCTGTCGATACGTGATTGTGATAATAACGGCTGAGTATTCCGTCAGTTGGCAGTGTGTGACAAGGCACCACTGTGCGTTATCACAGTGCGCTTGTCGACGGAATTGTGTGCGCAATAGATATGCAGGGTTATTCTGTTTAAATTTGCTACCAATTATCTTCTTGTTGATTATGTAAATACGTATATGCTGACGTGAGATGTCATTTTCATATATATACCTCTTTATTTAATTTTCAAATTTTTCAGGATGTTATCCGTGACTGTGAAAAAGCTAAGGAATTTATTCTTCTGAAAAAATTTAATATAGAATGATTTAATAAATGGATTAAATTGTTTTAAACAATCTCTTACCGATCATTATCTGAAAATCCATTGTGTAACTGTATTTCTTAGCCCATGCTGTACACTCCACAGTTATTAATCTGTTGGCTGTAATTAATGTATTAATGTATTATTTTTATTATATATATTTTTTATTTACCTGTAAGATTCAAGAAGCGCAGAGCAACAATAGGTGACAAGAAACCGGTCTGTCCCGTGTAAGGAAAATATTCAACAGAAAATCCTGATTTTGGTATGTATTCAATAAGTCCAATATGTTCCTTATCGACGTTATTACTACCTTCGCAGGACAGCCAGATCTGATACTAATTTTAATAATATAATTAGTTAATTAATCACAAGGTATTAATATATAAGGGTGGAGTTCAGTTCACCTCTGTTGAATTCCTAATGACATTCCTCAACCAGTCTGGCATTTTATCTGGTAATTCTGAAACTTTCTCATAGTAATGGGGGATCCAGTCAAATACCTGAATTACATGATAATAGAATCATTAGGGGGATAAACGCATTAGGAGTATTATGACTGCTCTGTATCTCCGTTGATGATCAATCGTCTTCATTACTTTGTTGAATTTCACTAGCACGCAGGGCTGCACTGGCACTGTATAGCCATAAGGAAATTTTCCACAAATTCCTAATCTATTTATATCGAAGAAACAGGGTCTTCCATCAAATTCAGTTCTCGGTTTTCCTTCGATGCACGAGTCGGAATACTCGGATGCGTTTCTGTGATATCCTAAAGTATATTTTTATATGATTGTATATATTTATACAGGGTGTCTCACTGAAAGTGCACATCTTGATTATTTCCGTTACTATTGACGATACGGGAAAAAGTTTCAGATAAAAATCGACCCCCTTGAAATCATGCAATTTTTTATTTGAAACTGTTTTCCGTATCGTCAATAGTAACGGAAATAATCAAGGTGTGCACTTTCGGTGAGACACCCTGTATATACATTGCTATTCTAGTCATTACTATAAACAATAATACAATATATTTATACCTAATAAAAAATCTGTTATAATCTGCATATATTTTTCTGGTCTTCCCTTATCACTTGATTGGCTTATCCATATTATCGGTGAACTAGTGGGCGTCAAAATATTTGGTATGAATCCTGTACCTAAGATAAAATAAAGATTTTTGTTTGATCAGAATTTGAAAAACTCTTAAAAATAGAACTAAATATTCTATACTATACCTGGTGCACTAAGGCCGGAATATGATGTACGAGTATAACGACCTGCACCAGCTGTCAGATAACTTCTCGTTAACAAATTAGCACGTTGTATGTACGGTTTATCGAGACCGGCAACGTAACTCATGGTGATCCACATTTTGAAGGCAAACAATGAAAATAATACGCCAAAGAAGCAAAGATAGAAGAGACCAACTTGAGCTATACGGAAGGAGTTATTAATTAAGGTAATAACAGTTGGCATTACGTTCTTACTCCATTCTCTGCAATTTCTATCAAGAAATGCTCTTTTCTCGGTATTCCATATAAAACGCATGATATTCCTCCATGGACCAAGATCCGGCTGGGGCCTTCTACGCTCATAATAAGTCTCGTCGTGGCTGAGCATCGTTTTATAAAAGACCGAACAACTACGTTTCAAATACTCTTATTTCAACACCTTTAAATCGTGCCGCTCTGCCCATCCATATGTTACATATATAAATGATATGCCAACATAGCAAAGTCCATGATCTGGCTATCAACAGCGACTCTGTCGTTGATAACAGTAAGCTTCAAGTTGGACAAAGAAGACACACCACCTGGTAAAAGTATCAAATTAAAAATTAATCAAAGTAATACCTAAGGATTACGTAAGAGATCAAATAATTCGACTTTACGAAGCTTCGCAAGAACGCAAGCTCCAATTACCTCATAGATTGCATATGAACTAATCAGAATTTGGAAAGGTATTCTTCTCAGTCAAAAATATCCATCATTGATGGATATTTATGAATAATAAATTACAAAAATTAGTAATGTTTTATTAGATATGCAATACTAACTTTAAGTTACGTGTACTTAAGGTAAGTGCAAACAGGGCGTGTCCAAGAAGACGAGGAACACTAGCGCCAAGTAAATACATAAAATTGCCGAGGAGAAGCGTTCGGAGATACGTAGGTAGCGTTAGGTAGGGTAGGAGTAGGATAGCTAGTAACGTTCCACTCTCGGTAGCGCGTAGTGCAGGATTCTCGCGATAGTCGCGAGATCGTTCTGTTGTCTCGCGTCGCGATTTGGCTCTGTACTTGTTATACCTATATACCTGCATATTACGATCTTAGCCCGTGCAGTACGGACGCACGGCTGGGATATAATATAATATATAGCGATGCGTGTCAGTGGTGTCAGTGCCAATTATTCGGTGGGTCGTGCGCGCGGTCGACGTTGAAACCGGGGGACGAGGAAAGGGAATAATCGAAGTAAATTTCGCGGCGCTCGAAGGGTTCCCCCTAGCAGAGTGTTATCTTGTAAACAGTTTTGTGTATACCTTGGAGACGTAAAGAAGGCCCTCTTGCATGCCGGGGATCCGTGAATTAAGCACTGGAATGCCCGGACGAGGCCGAGGACGCACTCAAGTACCTGGCGGTAAGCGTTTACCCACTCTGGAGCTATTTATCTCACTCTGGCCTGTTCAGTCCGCTATACTCTGGCACTTATTCTCTTCCCCTGGTTCTCTATCCTTGAGCTCATCTCTTACTCTCGTTTCTCTTTGACGTAATAATTTTTGATTTCCTTCTTCTTCTTATTTTAATCTTCTCTACCGTCCTCCTTCATCTCTCATCTACTTTAAAACCCCTCTTGACTTTTCTTTACGGAGCGCTAACTCGCATCTGCCTACGTATTAATATCGATCAGGCTGCTCCTCGACGATTACGGCCGCCTGCGCTTTTCCGACCCTCCGCCTGGTCAGGCTCCGCCCTGTCAATTTTATCTTGTTAATGCGAAACCGCGATTTCATCCGTATTAACGCCAATGTCCGACGCGCTCCTTCTCCGTTGGATTTACGGACGACGGCCGCAGTTACGAAATTTCCGCGGATACACACGCATGCTGTATTTGCAGACGTTCGAGGATGATTTACGATCTGGCAATAAAAGTCGACCTCTTCTTCAACCTCCTTCTTTTACTTCTTACTCATCTTTTTGAGCTATTCCTTGAGCTCCTGTTGCTTGCACAGGGATTTTCCTGTCTATGTGCCTTTAATGTGTATCCCTTAGATTGGTCTTACAGGATTGGATATTCATTATTGGATATAGATTTTTTAGGATTTGAAATTTTACAATGACACCTTGAATTCTTGACAATTACTATGAGCTTGTTATATCTGCAAACTCATGTATCAATTAGAAATCAGATTTGAGCTTGAGGTGTTGGAGAACAGAATGAATTCTGTCTATCTTCAATTATTATCCTTGATGTTTTCTTGCTATTACTCTGTCTGTCTATATGGCCCTTTTTCTATATGACAAGGATTACTTGTTAAAATGGCATCACCAGATGAAAAAAAGATACTTAACTATAACTTGTACTCTACGTCATGCTATTTGGAATAATGCCATCTAAACACCTGATCCATTCGCAATAAGGAAAGAACTTTGTGTTTGTTTTCCTGTTGTTTTCTATGCATTTCTTGGCCATCTATGTCAATAATTGGTCCAAGAATGTTATGTGACAAAATTTTGCAACAGGATCAATGACGCATTTTCTTCTAGATTGACATATTTCATTGAATCTAATGCAAGCATGCACTCACGTGCCTTTCCTTGGATATATTTATACTGTCAAGTGGTTTGAGAAGCTCGATGTTGTAATAAAATTTCTCACAGTACACCAGAGCTGCAGCAAAATATTCAAATCGAATTTTCTTGGTGACTAGTAAGTCAGTGTTATTCGCTTATTACTTGGGTTCATTGCTTTCTATCTTGGATGTGCGTACAATAATAAAGCAATATTCTACACCAACAGTTGATAAGTAGCTGAAAAGATTATTTGTTCCCCCCTCATTAACAAGATTCAGAGAGTACAACCGAGAGATAATCTTAAGGTTTCAGAACTCATATGGACACCTTTCCTTCCTTATATTTCTCATCGGTTCTTATTATAGATCATCTCTTTAATCCAAACTTCTTTGTTTATTAATAATATCACCAGAGCTCTTTTTGAGCATCCTCAGAGGTTCTCAATATTCAAGATTAACACAGACTCTCTGTCAGTGGATGCAAAGTAAATTTTGAACTTTCCATGTGGTATCAGAATTGAACAAATTAAATAAGTATTATCACCTGTTTACCAAGTAGATTTATATAGATGTCGATAAAATTCGATGGAGCGATGTAATCGAGCGCTGTGAATATAGATACCTTATCATACATGTGATCATTACATCACTGGATGTAACTATTTTCCACTTAATATAATATCACTTTGGCACCTCACAGATCTTGTTGCAATTTAAAATAATATTTCATAAGGTCAGTCTCACTGACATAAACAATGCTATTACCCATATTACCGGTGACTGTATCTCTTTCAGATGAAAATTGAGACTTCCCAAGACATGACGTAAGGAAGCAGTGAGAGAGCAAAATTATCAAAATGGAGGGTCCCACGCCGTAGTGGTATACCATGTTAGTACCACAGTCACTGATCCCCATGGACACTCTACCGAACATGTTGTCGGTCCTCGACGAGGAGACAAACGTCGACATAGACGATGTCTTCCCTCCGCACGTAGACACGTCCAACATCGTCATCCAGCCAGAGTCACCGACGAGCAAGAAGCAGACTTTGAAGACCTTCGCCGAGGTAAACAACCTCCTGCAGTCCGGTAGGAAACGCGAGGTCAAGCTCCTCATCCGAGATAACGCTTGGCCACTGAACAACGGCATCAGGGCGCAGCTCTGGCCAGCTCTCTGCAATCAGCATGCTCACGGCAAGAGTATGCTCGACGGCTTCTACTGGGACATGGTCAACCAGGTCTTCGGAACCACAGGTCCGTTCCGATAGCTCGCCAAGCCTTCGGGATTATTAATAGAATCGGGTGCGAATTTCTCTGTTTGCACTTCGATTAGATCCATTAGGAATAACCTAGGATTCTACGTCTAACTGTTCCAAACCACTGCCGCTGGCAAACGCTCATCGAATCTATTGATGCATTTACAGAACTGCCAGAGAAGTCTATCATGCTACCGCCATTTGTAGACAGTACACATTGTCTGTCCTACAATCTCACGAGGAAGGGAAGGAGTGTCGCGGACAGGGTAGTTTCCGTCCTGGGCTATGCTTGTCCCGACATTACCTTCAGCCCTTCTCTCTATCCGATCACAGCACTCCTCTTGCACTTTATGCCAGGTTCGTATTAAACTACCCTTCAAGTTCTACTGTCATCAATGTCCACCCACAAGACACATTAAGTCACCCCGTGGCTTACTTTAAATCTTACAGAGGAAGAGTGCTATCATTGCATGGCAAGCTTAGTGGCTGCTAAGGAGAAGATGTTCATCACGCAGACCAAGCTCCTCTACGAGGTCACTTGGAAGACTGTGGAGCAGATCACTAAGAAGCACGTGGTAGGTATAAAACTTGAACGATCCTTATTATCATCATCTCTACTCGGCTCTGCCGCAATTCATTGCTCGTTTCGATTTTACGATTTAAGAAATCCGCCGCTGTACACTTGGCGAGGCATTGCTCCGGCTCCAGGGCCGAGAGGATCTACATGGACTGGATCTGGTGGATCCTTCAGCTACTTCCCTTTCAACATCTAGTCAGGGTCATGGACTGCTTCCTTCACGAAGGCATCAAAGTGGGTAAAAGCCTATTCTAGATAGTGACTCTTGGAAGGCATCAACTAATCTCTAACTACTTTCTCTCTCTCTCTCTCTTTCTCTCTATTTATCTCTTTCTACCTACCTTCTGGATTCAGGTCTTCTATCGAGTAGCCATGGCCATCGTTTTACTCTTCTACAAACACTCGTCCTCGCAGACCTCCGAGTGGATGAACGAGATTTCGAAGAACGGAATCGACGCCGCACTTTCGAAATTCTGCAGACAAATACCGGTACAGACTTTATCTACTATACTTTACTTATATCTTCACTATCTCGTTACACTAATTCATTATTTTTATTTTTTTCAACGATATCCTTCAGGTGACAACAGCTAAATTCTTACGTACAGCCTTTGGCATTCGTGGGTTAAGCTCGGCTTACATATCAAGAGTATTTTTGCGAACTGAGATGGCTCTCAAGAGCCAGAGTGTACTTCGTGGGTCCAGGTCGCTGGCCAGATCGAGATCTACGGATAATCTGCCTACCAGTCAGTCGCAAGTCAACATACAGATGATGTCCCATACGCTCACCATACGAGAGGTAAGTGACGTCAGTACATAAACGATAAAGATAAAAGGTATCTAAGCAAACATGAATTTCAAGTGATCCCTATCAAGAGAAACAGCATCCACATGGTACCGTAAAACTGTATTTAAAAAAAAAAAAAAATTACAAGAAAAAACGAATGAACGTACAATACTATGATACTTCCGCCTATCCCGTACTGAGAGTCGGCATAATATGTATACTGACATGCGTGTCATACATAATACTGTAAAGCCAAGTGTTTTTCTTGCGCTTAGATAAACGAAGAAAACGGCCTCGATCGACTGTGCGTTACAGCAAGCCATCACAATGATCGATTGAATTTGTTTTCAGAAAGAGTGTGAAGACACGTACAAAGACAGGGTATCGTATGATTAATCTTTTTGGAAAATGTGTCGTTAGTTTCATGTTGCTGGCCCTCTCTCACTCTCCCTGAAATACTCTTTTTTACTACCTTACTCTGTACTCACTCGCCCACGCTCTCTCTCTCACTCATGGTTATTATATTACTATCTTTTTTGCGCCGGCTTTGTCGCTCTTACCCGTTCGCCGCCATAGCTGCCGCCATTTATATGTAAATATAGATATATACATCCGTAGTTACACTTACGAGTGAATTAATGAGCAAAACGACAATGAGTTCGATTAAGTGCAGAGAGGAAGTTGCACAGTGTTCGTGGCGCATATTAATTCGTAACAAAACCAGGTTCAACCAAGAGTACGTGAAGCATAACACTGCCGCAATGTTAAATACGTAATCCAAGAAGCCAATCAAAAATTGTACAGTCAGATTTAACGTTCTGATTGCTCCTGCCATGTTGTCTAATTGAAAAATGCCAAAATAACAAAAAAAATAACACTAAAAGCTACGTTCATTACCGTTTAAACACAAGGACATCGTACGACCTATCCTCTAATCGATTCTATGATGAGGCTTCATAGAAGAAAAAGGAAAGAAAAAATTAAATCTCGATACCGACTTGAAACTAATCTTTCCAGGAGCTGGCCGTTATTGCATGGCAGATTCGAATCATATAGATTTTATAATACAAGCATCATCAACTCCTGCTATCTCTACTACTGTACTCTGCGATGGTCATACGTTAATTATCAGAGTGATCCTGACCGATATCCCACTGATAACGATGTCAAAGGAAAGCAAGAGCTTTCCGAATATCTTGTTCATTCATTCCTCTACATTGTTATTAATTCACAATTTACATATGCGCCCGTTATCGTATACCTAAGATTGACAATGCTCCGTTTATAATTTTTATTATATATTTTTTTTATGCGAGCTCAATTCTCTTTGAGTAGGTAATATTTGTCGCAGGGTAAGCCATTGTCTCTTTCTCTATCTCTTCTCTTTTTTTTTATATATATTCTTATTTTTACTCCCATCCATTTCTGTTACTTTTCGAGCGTCGAATGAGATACGCATGCAATCACATAAAGATTGACGGCGCTATTTGTTGTCTTGTGTTGTGCTGCGTTACTGGGATGATGATGATGATGATGATCATGATGATCGGTGTAGGGCGCACACAGTCCTGGACCGCGCGCTCTATCGATGGGCGTTTACCCTATACAAAGCATACGCTCCCAGATCCTAGACATGCCTGATGTAAGTATCCAGGTCGAGGACTAAGAAAATATCGTTATTGATTATTCTTTTAATTCTTTTATTTCTTCCAATTCATTGTCAATTCAATAGAGTCATGTTTCGTAGTCTCGTGGATCGCTGCAGCATGTCGGTGTTGTCGTCGGTGTTACACAAAATGAACATACGAGGAAGAGCCAAGAACTTGTTACTCGAGGATGCTCCCCCTCTCCCCCACGTCAAAGATGGAATCCTCGTCGATCCTTCGTTTCATTATGGCTTCTTGTATCCCTTTGATTTCGATCATACCGACTGTACCTTAAAAAAATGCACGCTGCATCTATTTCGTTTGGCTTAGCGTTGAGGCACGACGAATGATTATGAAACTTTTGTTTTATTTTATTTCTTTATCTGGATTTCAACCATGTGCCATTCAAGCATGATCGCTCGCCATTTATTAATCATATCATTATATCAGCTTTGGTCCTTTCCCTCTTAATTTATTTTTCCTTTTCCACCCCCCGGTTTTTGCAGTTCACTCACAGAGCTCACACCTCGAGCGATACCTTATCTAGTCTTGAATCGTCCACAAGAACCTCATTAAACTCAGACTTATGAAATTGGAATAATTCTGTCAACCATAGAAAGAATTAGCATGATTAGCTTATATACTGCATATTCTGTGTAAGTCAAAAAAGACATTCTATTCCTTACCCCTTTTGCTCGACCGCTGTAGTTACTTTTGTTTTCTCTTCTCTCATTCTTATCCCATTGAATTAATTCACTTGCAGGAATCCTCGAAGACGAGCGTACACAAGCCGATAAATTTTAAAATTGCCGCCTCATATTATTTTCGCCTCCACGCTTACCGGGTCTTCGCTCATCATTCACGCAAAAGACCCATCACTGTGCGTAGAGAATTGTCGGCAAAGCGCATGATCTGTCGCTCGATGTTATTCGCAGTTGTTTATGCGTTTATTGGAAGAAAATAGCAAATAATAATATTAATAATAATAATACATATAGATACGCCCAGCCTATCGTGCGGCTGGTTATTACAATTGTAAACTGTCACAGTTAATCGTTATCTCTTTTTCTTTTTCCTCGACAGTTGTTTACACTCTGGTCTTGGCTGCCCGTGAGGATCACCATGTACCAGCCGATCCTTCTCTACACCACGGAGGAGCATGGCTGCTCGCTCACCACCTTTTACGTCAGAGTCGAACAGCACGAGCCTACGCTTCTTATGATAAAAACTTGCAACAACGAGGTACGCGCGGGACATGATAAAATCCCTTATCCAGTTATTAGCAGTCGTTATACTGTTGTAATCTATATATCATTGATATGATCATTGGTCGATTATCGAATTCAGGTATTCGGTGCCTACTGCTCTACGAGATGGTGCGAGCGTAATTTGAAGGACGACAAGGGACAACGACAGGCGTATTTCGGCACTGGAGAGACATTCCTGTTTAGCTTGTATCCGGAGAGAGCCAAGTACCCATGGGTGGGTATGGATTCCTCGCACAATGATCCCAGGGTGCATCATTCGGCCGAGCTCTTCATGGCAGCTGATGCCAAGATGATCACCATTGGCGGAGGGTGAGTACTCCTTGTTAGAGCTTGTGGAAGCTTCGTCGGGTGACGACGGTTCGGGTTGTTATTCTCATGGCTTGGTTCTACTATAGGGACGGTCAGGCAATATGGATGGACGAGAACATAAGGTTCGGCAAGACGGACAGATGCTCGACCTTCAATAATCCACCCTTGTGCGCCAGCGGAGACTTCGAGATCAGGGTGTTGGAAGTGTATGGGTTCGCTGGTGCCTGAAGTGTCAGGACCGGACACGCGTCTTCGTTCGACGAAGGGATGGATGCCAAGGAAAGAAACAAACAAAAATATGTCAACTGCCATTTAAAATGAAACAACTCTCTAAACCTCGTCTCGTCTTCGTCGGCGCGAAGGATGCGGGAAGACGGGGACGAGGATGTGACTGGAAAACAGACAATGGAAGGAGAATAATACGTGAAAGGGAAGAAAGGTCGAAGTCATAGTATTATCCTGTTCGTTTGTGTCGTCGTTGATAGCTTTAATTCCTTCTTTTTTTTTTTTTATCATTAAACGGGGAGGAAAAGTGAGAATTAAGTAATGAAAGACTCGAAAGGGTCGAAACGGATTATAAGGATGCAACATGTCATATTTTTCGTTACACCGTGTATAATTATATACATGGTGATCGGACTGCTTAGTTTACGCCTTCGTTATTTATCTTTCTGTGTATATATATATTTATATATATATATATATATAATAGGCGCGTAATAATCTAATCACGTAATAATCTATCCGTTATGCTGTTAGCTATATTTTATGTAGATTAGTCAGACGATCAACGGCGGATTGTCTAATTCCGTCGGGAAGGTACCGAAGAACCTTGACAATAACATTAATTGTGTCGAACAACAATCGTAGGTCATAGGCGAGAGCTGGCATATCGGGTTGTTATCAGCTCCTATCGGACGGTATAGAAAGTTTAAAAGGTGAATACTTAATATTCATTGGACCAGAAATATCGTTATAGAGGCCTCCTCTCCTCTGCTACCTTCTCCTTTTCTCTTTCTCCTCCCCCCCTATTCCTTTACCTTTATCCTTTCCTGTCCTGTATATATAATCATATACATATACACACACGAAGGTATATGATTATTCTACTGTATGCCTAATTTACGAATATCACAAAAAAAAAGATTTGTATAAACGCGTTGTTTCCTAAGATTTATTTAATTAGCGCTCGTTGCTAGTAGTTTATAATCGTTAGTTTTTGTGTTTATAGAGCTCCTATTGTATATACATAATAGGCGGATATACGTGACTGGGCATATGTGTATATATATATAAATTATATTATATATATATATATTATGTGTGTGTATTTATGTGTTACTAAAAAGAAAAAAGTAAAAATTATAGAAAAGATACAAAGTGTAAGAGCGTGCGAGGCGTAGACGTTATATATTTCACAGAGCCTATCAGTCATATACATACTATATGCTCAAATACGTATGTGTCATTATGTACCGGTTCTTCTTGTATGTACATAGTTATAAATATGCACGTATATGCATATATATATATATACATATGAAATGCAGTGCGGATTCGGCCAGTGTGAAACAATGGCGAATCCTGGGGGCTGAAGTTGCACGCGAGGACACGATTGATATAGAACGGAAAAAGCTTCGAAGAGGCTAAAAAGCAAGCTGAATCCCCAATTTACACACCGATACGTACAAATGTTCTTTACCGTAGAGGCTCATACGAATTATTGATCGAGATTTTTAAGATTGTTCGTAGTACTATTATTATTATTCCTCTACTAATTATTTCTTTACTTTCTATATTCATTTTTGGTAATCTTTATGATTTCTCTCTCTCTCTCTCTCTCTCTCTCTCTCTCTCTCTCTCTCTCTCTCTCTCTTTCTTTCTTTCACACACACACACACACACTACGAGTAAAGGTACATTGACAGTACCTTGTGAATTTCCATATGGTATTTCAATGTTTTAGTTTTATTTTATTTTATTTTTGTTCCTGCTCCCATCGGGTGTTGGCACCACTTCCTTAATTCTTGCCCCGGCCACAGCCGAATTCCTTCATCAGTCAAAATCAGCAATCTGTCACGACAAAAATTCTCTAAGATCCTCTCGAACTGCTCTCAGACTTTTTAAAGGCCAAAACCGGCCGATTATACCCCACACACTTTACGTTCGCTAAATATTTCTAATACATCTTTGTTCTTCTACCTCTTGGGATTTAACGGCTCTACGTAAAGCGCCCAGGTGTATAAGTGTTAAGTAGTGAGGGTGAATATGATTCGAAGGGGGATCGCTTACGATTTAAGGTACTCAGTTATTTGTTATGGCGAATCTGACTCCTCTTATGGTAGCTGATTGTTATTTCTTGTTGCGTATCATTCGAATGACGTTACGTTGTTGACATTGCAATGCGAGCGACCGCGAGCGCGCTCTCGTGACTTTTTACGTAATTACTTTACCTGCCAATCCATCTTGACACGCGACGCTCCGATATGTAAGGAATGAGCAAGCGTTAAAGTTCTTTTTATCCTTTTTGTTGTTTTTTTCTTTCGGAGGCGAAACGCGGCAGTTCTTTTTCTTTCGCGAATGGGAATCAAAGTGGACTGTTGTTTTTTTTTGTTTCTTTGTTTTTCGTTCTCATTATCCTCGTTCCATGACCGACATATCATAAATTTGTTTTTTTTTCCTCGTTTTCGTGAATTACTTTTTTTTTTTACGCACACATGATCTCACAGGGCGGCGGATGCACCAAAGTATCACGAGTACATTGAATCCAGCTTGCTTTGATTGCGTTTATTGTCACAGGGAAATGGGGGTCGAGGGAGGGAGGGCTTGTTTTCACAAAGTTGGTTATTATTCTTCCTTGTTTTTCTTTGTATTTCTGTTTATCTCCCC